AGCCTCGCGCACTTTGGCGCGTTCATAGCTAGTTAACATTTTGGTCAAGTTTCTAACAAACCCTTAAATTATACAAATCCTATGAACTCAATCGAATTAAGGGAATCGACGCAGAAATAAAGCGTGAGTTCTCGGCTCCTAAAGTTTTCCATGATTTTCACAACTTATCAATAAGGTTGTCAACTCGGTCATGTCGCTGACCAATGAGACACGAGCTTCTGACCCCAAAGGCTCTAAACAAGAACAGTCCTTTGAAATACAGTTCCACGGTCAAGTCGAAATTGAGTTCCAAGAGAAATGACTCTAAATGTAGAACGGCGAAACAGAAACAAAGCACTAGTCAGCGAAAGAGGAGAGACGTGACAGAAACCAACGGTGAAACTCGCAACCATAGTCAATCTACCGGCAATCCCAAACAAAACGCGGTGGCGTCTACGCATGCACTCGAGTTTATCCACGGCGTTTACTCCCTTGAACTGATGAACTCATATCATTTATTTGCGGCGAAATCTTTCTCAAAAATTCACAAATGGTAATGGCCTGCTTGGTCTTCGAAAAACCACAAATCTCTTACTACGTAAACCAAATGTGCTAATTATTGTAACTGGAGTCCCTGAGTGAAGTTTAACATCTGATCTGATATCAAACTCTCAAGGTCAAAACAAAAACGAAGTGGTGAAAAATGGTAATCTTCTTCGCCGGCAACTTTTCAGCCGAGTGGTCAATTTTCAATGAACATCGTTCTGAGTGCCAGTGCTCTCTCTGTCCGTCAGGGACTCTTATTTCGGTGCATTTGCAACGACGTTGGGTATATTTATCTTTAGATAAACATAGTAACCCACGTACCAGAGATGTACACAGATAAAAAAAAAACGTCTGAAAAGCTTCAGTTTTACTAAAAATTCATAATTTAATTTTTTGTAAGCTTTGGATGGTCGAAATACTCATTTGCGCAACCATATAACACAGTCGTGGGTAAGGGGGGAAGGGGGGAAGGGGGGAAGGGGGAGGGGAGATAAACGAAAGCCGGCTGATCCACATCCTGCACGATGACATCGAAATCTGCGTTAATTGACAAATTCAGTGAAGTCTTGATCGTTTAACAAAGCCTGCTGTAATCTAAGCTGATCCGCTTTTCTTGATACGTACTTGGCAATGTAATACTTCTATCAAAGAATTTTATCTTGACTTGATGCACCGCGAGTCCCTCTTGATTTTCAATAAAAATCCCTTCCGTCAAACCTAATTAATCAATTTTATTTAACGCATTTCCTCGAATAGTCGCCTGGACGCTTCTTCAAAATTTCGGCTGAAAGGAGGGGCGCTTGTTGGAAGGAGGGCCCTCAATCGAGGGGGCACTTATTAAGAAACTAATAACCTGTAGCGATTCAGCTGTAGTTGAAGCTTACAAAGTCCTAGATAATAATGTGGCAATAAACAGGTTTTTTCGAATATGGGAAAGTAAGGAAGGAATGAAGGGGGGGGGGGGGAAGTTAATCGAGAGGCCGCTTAAAACGCAAACGAGACTTTCTCCAGCTAAGAATCATTTGGAGTTCTAAACTTCATCTAACAGCGCACATCTAACTATCAGTTGTGATTATTTCTTGTTGACAGGGACTTGTCCCATAATCAGTTACAGGTATTACCCCCAGGAGTTTTCCGCAACCTTGAATATCTCTACACACTGTAAGTACCAACCAACATAGTCTTTATTAATTACCAGGGCCCTTAAACAGTTTCACGCAGAATTCCAACACTTGCAAATGAAAAATGTACAATCGGTCGAGAAAAAAAAAAATAAACGATGAGCGGCAAAACACCATGTAATTCTCCCCCCCCCCCCTTCCTCAAAAACCTTATCACCCACCACCTCGGATTAGAAGCTGGCCTCAAAATCAAACTCAACCTTTTGTCCGGGGTGGGTAAGGAAGGCACTCAACCTTTTGTCAGGGGTGGGTAAGGAAGGCAAAGACCAGACAACCAGGTAAGCACAAGGTAAGCAAGAGTTTTTGGCACCTTAGCGCCCAGGAGCAGTTTTTATCAGAGCCCAGTTACGACATGAAAATCTTGTCAGAGTTTCTCACCCAGGGTTACACTTAAAAGCAAATTGACGGTGTTGATGCAAAACACAGCGCGTGAAAAAAATTTGGGTCGAAAACCTAGCGAAGTATTGTTATGTCTTCAGTACGCGGTCATATTACGAGTAATTATGACTGGTTTGGATTTGTGTAATAGCTGCCTTCTCTGCTATGGGCAGTTCATTTGGTTTCGGGCGCATTAATCATTAAATGACTCGGTAATTTGTTTAGTTTACTTCGATGGAAAACTCGTCTCAAGAATTTCTCTTTTACCAGACATAACCGTTAATTGATGTAATGTATATAACACGGACTGACCTGGGCTGTGGTGAACAACATTTTTATTTTTATTTGTTTTCAAACACCCTAATAATTTAGGGCTGCAATTACGGCAAGATCCTCCCGGCTATAAATTGAAAAATTAGTTGTAGATAGTATAGAACGAGTAGGTGAAGCAAATGAAAGGGAGAGGCTTCACAGAAACAGTTTTATTTGCGTAAAGATAAGGTTAAATTTAAAGGGCTTCCAAGCAATCTTTGAAACATGACTATCATGACAATGTTTTCTTCAAAAACAATCACTGATCATAAGTAAGGAAAGAAAGTCTGTTCACTTCTAGGTGACAAAGAAAGTCAGTGTAAGCACATTCAAATGTATGTTCTGAAGTTGAGAGGTTGTTCGTTTGTTTGCCGTGATGGCGTGTGCAAATCTTGTCTTTCTTTCGCCGAAAAATAAGGTAACACGAGAAACTTAAATCAAACACAGGGGATTTAATATTGCGTTTACTCGTGCCATTGAATTCCCTCGGTTTCTGTTGTGAAATTTACAATAGACATGTCCAAAATTCAACGGACTTGCAAACACTCAACGAAAGTGTATTCATAGCAGATCGTAGAACTCAAATCATTGCTTGGCGTTTTAAAACGAACCAATTTTTTTGGCGATTTCAGAAAGTCAATTGAAGTGATTGTAATTGTGAACAAGTACCTCACGTTTTTACTTTTTCGAATTTGCTTCTTGTGAAGGATCATTAAATTACAAACGGTTTTTAGGCCTTGTGACAACCCATTTAATAACTCATAATTTGCTAACACAAAATTCATTTCGAAACCAATTTTTTAAAAAGATCCAAAGTGATTCTAGATTGAGTAAGAGAGAGAGAGAGAGAGAGAGAGAGAGAGAGAGAGAGAGAGAGAGAGAGAGAGAGAAACTTCGTGAAGGTAACATTTGCTTATAAAAGCTGCTTGGCGCACAAGGCGACTCAACACGCAACGGATTGGATACCTCCCGCTGTGAGCGGGCCAGACGGGAGAATACTGTCCACTCTCGGTACCAATCAAATCGCACGATTTGTAGAATACCGCCCGCTCACGCACTGAGAAAAAACAATATCTGATCTTACGCGTCAGCTTAAAGTGCACGCTCCTGTTATGTCTATCGCTTTTTGTCATCCGGACCAACCCTTAGTCCTGTTACTTAGGCGGTATCAGCATTAACTTAGCTACGCATTACATCTGAGAACGCAGTTAATTAGTACAATTTTGGCTCCAAATGTGAAGCACCGCTAATTCGACTATCATACAGGTGATCATTATCAAACTCACTCCGATCCATATACAAAGAAAGATAAAATTTTTTCAATATCTTTATTCAGTTAGTCCATCTCAAAACAAGGTTTGTCACAAATATTACACTAATTGAATCCTACTAAATTTACCCACCATTCATTTTACAACGCCTCAACATTTTCGCTTTCTGAAAAAGCAATTTTTTTTCCAAACCTAATTTTCACTGGTTTACTGGAGAGGTACAAGACAGTCCACCTCTCACGATGTTGTGGTCCCTTGGCAGACAATAAAGAGAGGGTCAAAAGCTTTTCCTGTATCTTTTAAAATGGTGTCCACCTCAACACCAATCTTTCAAATCAGTTCACTGATTCCATATACATCACCAAGGAAAAGCTGTGCAAACTGTTGGGAGCCACACACATGTACAGAGTCAAGAGAACCTCGCTTGACAGGGTACATACATGTGCATTTTGAATGGATTAGCTCATACACCTCAGAAATGCTAATGTCAAAGCAATTTATTGTGATACTGTACTTTCTTTCCTGTCTATGTCTCATCATAACTGAACCCCCTAGTTAACCCATTCACAAACTACTAATGATGTACTAAATTACTTCCTTACCACAATTTCCACTTATTTATTTTGGTGGTATATCAGTATTCCTGCTGGAAATTCCCGTATGTCGCATTTTCACTTCTTGTGAGCTTCTGTGAACGGTTTGAAATTGTATGGAGAAGTTGTGTATCAATCACTCAGGGAGTAATTGAGTTAAAAAAAAGAAAAAAAAAGCATTGTGCATTCCAACAATGTACTCATGTTAATGATTTTTGTTGATTACATTGAGAATTTTGTTACATGATTTGACTGCTACACGCTGGCACTTTAGGAAAGCCTAATTTATGAAATACTTATTGAGAACAGCACAAACAATTCCATAATGAAGCCCTTGAGATTAAAATTTTGTTAAAAGTTACGAAAGATAGAAGGAACCAATGGCTACCAAGACTGTTCCTGGTCAATGAAATTGATTAACTCTTTATTAATCATTCATTTTCCATAGCAAATAACAGCATACAATTGAGCTGGGGTCTCACAATAAAGGTTTCAATTACACATAAATCAAACTCTTGTTGAATTCATGATGATGTTCATGAGGATGCCTCAGTTCCTAAAATAAAAAAGCCACATTGATTCATAAAAGATTATTAAATAACACCAGATACATAAGGGAAATAAAATTCTGTTTCTTTAAATCCTTACTGCATTTTTAAAGAGAAAGGTATGCACATATGCACCAGTAGCTTTTGAGGTAACAAAAATAGATGCAAGTTGTTGATTTGAGACTGAAGCTAAATAGGAAGTGAGCTGAGATACCTTAGGCATATTTCAGTTCAAATCAATCATTGAACTCTGTAGCCATCTGTTGGACAAAATTACCAGGCACCCTCATTAGCATTAATATCATCATATTATTCCTTAAGAAAAAGCCCCTGCTAAATGATCAAGAGAAATATATATTGGTTTGATTGTAACTTCCTGCTGAACATATACATACAGCATATCAAATGATAATAGCACTAATTCTCAAGCTAGTAGACTCAAAATTTTTCTAATCTCCTAACAAAGAGAGGAAAACCATATGTGCATTCAAACCAAATAATAATAATAATAAAACCAAAAACACATAAATTGGTGCAAAATTTGTATTTCAATTTGCTTGGGGTGAAAATATCTTTTACACCATTATTTTCTATTTAAACTAATATTATGATACAAAATAAAAATTATAAGTCTCCACCATCATTTCCAGTGACTAAAGACAGCCATTGTGTTTCTTATTCCAACAATTACTTGCATTGGCCACCTTCTTATTTTGAATTGAATAACAAAGAAGCCCTTAAGTAAGTATGCATGAAAGTTTAATATCACTTGTGACCAATATTATTACCCCATGCTTGGGTAATGCATATTGATAAATCGCAAACTGTCAGTCATTTTACTCCATGACGTCAAATCCTTCATGACATGACAGGAATAAAGAACATTCACTGTCAGAAAAAAAAATGAATGGATTACACTCATTTTTACAAAACAAGAAGCTTTCTGCCTTTTTGTTATATTATGTTTGTAATATAAAACATGCCCTCTGAATCATGTTTAATTAGATTTATTTCAGATTTCCAGGTAAAAACAGTGGTTAACATAATTTTTACCTTGATTTTTGTTCCATAACTGCCAGGACAAAAAACTGCAAATATAACAAAAAGTAGCGTTGTTTGGGTTACTGTTTAGGTAAAAGGGAATTGATACACAAGCTGGCTTAGAGGCAAGATGCAACTTTACCACTCAGCTATACACAATTCAACAAAAGGCAACATAAGTCTTAGGCAGTCATTAAATCAGCTAGTTTATTTAAATTGGCTAAATTTCACTCCTAGCAAAGAATATCAAGTCTACAAGTCAAAGAAAACTTTGAAATTGAATACCTCTAAAGATACATGTAGGTGGCAGTCATTTTGATGGTCTTAACCCTTTAACCTCTAAGAGTGACTGGCATTTAATTTCTCATCACAATATCAGCCCCAAATCACATATTAAGGTAATGAGAATAAAGGAAATGGTCACCATTTAGAGAAGCTCTGGATTATGAAACAAATTCTCCTCATCAGCACCTTAGGGAATGTATAGGGAACAGTATGGAGAAGATGCATACTGATGTAAGGGTGGAAAAGGTTAACAAAACTTGATGTTGTTAGGGAAGAAACCAAACTTTTATTACCAGGCAGTACGATCATCATAGGAAGAATGCATGCACAACATCTTAAATTCCCAATTTTTCTCCCTAGTTGTAAAGTGTATTCTCTCTGCTTTACAAAGACAGTAAACTGTTAACTTCTCACCTGAGAGAAAATATATGAACTGCCAGCTGACCAAAATATATAGGTATTTCATGTAGCAGCTTAATTATCATGCTTTTAGCTCAGCTTCTTACACTGATCCAGAATGGCAACTTTTTCTCCCACACCTGCTTGCCTTGCTGTAGTCAACAGAAGGGACTGATAAAACACTCAGGTCATCATGGCATGATCCAAGACATTTTTTTTTCTCTTCTCCTTTTACTTCAAGACAGTGATTTTAGTGATAGTCATAAGGTATTGACATTGAATAAATTTCTGTGAATCAGAATGGAGATCACCAGCAATATTTGATGCACATCAACAGAAAAAAGGATATTAGGGAAACCTTCCACGCAGCCATCATTAACATGTTACATGTACCTAAAACAGTTATGCTTCAGAGGCCAAACAGGTTTATAGAAGAAACCCAAAGGAGGAGGAACCACAGTGACTACTCATTAGGTGCACTCCTTCCTCGAATTCCTCCGGCAAATCATTCTTAAAAGATAATTAAGGATTGAAAAGATGATATCAAATTACTATAGAGACGCTTGCAGAATATGCAAGTTTGGCTCACCTAGCCCCTGGTTGCAAGGTGAAGGATTAACAAATAAACATTGTCTATCTATGTATGGATATACACAAAGTATTTTCTTGGTCTAATTTGCCTTTTTCTTACTCTTGGTCTTCTGTTCATTAAAAGCTCCAGCTTCAGATGTAACACCCTCCCAAGGTATCTCTTTTGGTGACATTCTTGGTCAGTGTTTTGTTAATTTTCATAATGGTGGCAATTCCACAGAATTCATCCTTGTGTGCTTGATGAAATGACAATCACTCATTTTTTATCATCACTGCCATTTGGCACATTAAATCTCCATGCCAAACTTGGGCAGGAGCCTTTGTAATACCCTTAACACCAATGAATCTCAAACCATTTTTCACACTGCTCCTCATGCACCAGTCAAACTCTCTTTGTTCATGGTGAACAAGCCACAGATTTTGCAAACAATTTTCAGGTACATGTAGGTTCGTCAGCATTCCCAGCTGAGATGACAAGTCTTATAGTGCATTGATTGGAACGATTTTATTTCAATCACTTTGCTCTTCGATACTTCAAATTCACCTGCACGATAAATCGAAGGAAATGACCTATCATTTTCCCATTTAAATCTCAAGGGGTTAATTAGCTTCCTCATTGTAATGTTGTGCGAAAATTTCAACGTGCTTACCTGATGCACATGTTGCACGGACATGCATGTAACTTTTCCTCAGAAACTTTTGAGACTTTCCATTGATATCAGACGACATAATTACGCTTTGTCCAAGTCATCCAATAAACTTCCATCCAAAGAAGTGGCATGAACTACACAAGTGTAAACTTTTCATTAAAAAGACACCACCGTTGGCTTTTGGACTCCGTTCGTCCCCAACATCGTCTTAGCCCAACACCAACCGACGTGGCGTGTTTACGGTTAGTTCTCTAGTGGCGTTGCTCGCCCTTTTAGCTCTTTTGTTTGTTTGTTTGTTTTTTTAACAAGCCTTTTTGTTTTTCATGATATGCCTTTCTTACTCTCTTTGAACGACACACTAATCAAACTAACCAAGCCTTTAGCATCCTGGCCTCAAGAGACAACAGTCTGGAATCTGGAATGAACTTGGGGATTTAGAGGACTTTGGTACAGTGGAACACAGAGCTGCACAGAGGGAAACGATGATCGTTAATGGCTGGTTACCACCACAACTGCGTTTTTTGATTCCGCAAAAGAATTTGCGTAAAGACTAACCACGTATTCCAAATCTAGACAGATATTTGAAGGTTTTCTAAAAAAATTACAAATATCAAAATTACTTCAGGTCTTTGGAAGGAACATCAAACAGTAGCAACTTTAAATTAGAAGCAAATCCTTATTTTCAAAGGAAGTTACCGGAATCCGCCCCCAACACACATTCGGAATAACTTGACACATCACCTAGGCCGTCACGTCATGACCGTCAGTGCTTTTTTGGATTTAGACTATCCGAATCGTCTCGGATTTTCTTGTTTGGATTTTTTTTTTGTTTGAATTTTTTTTTGTTTGGACCTTTTTTTTGTTTGGATTGTTTGGCTTGTTTGATTTTCAGATTTTTCAAAAATCTGAAAAGAGATCGATCCGAACGGCAAACAGCCTGGACACGATCTTTTGAAGACTAAGAATAAAGCAAAATGAAGGTTTTTTTTTTAGATTACCTTCAGCCTTTTACTCTATGCTGGAAGAACTTGTTAGAGAAAACAGAAACAAGGGAAAACATCATGAAAATGGATGACTTGCTCATTTTTACGACGCTTGAGAAGCTTAAGAAAACTCACAGAAATGTTGCAGTTTGGACGGATGCTTACGCCGTGCAAAAAAACTAAATGCTGTTTACGGTCTTAACTGGGCGAATTTCATACTTCTTCGTTTTATTCTTAACATTCAAGTTCAACTTCCATAATCTTAAAGATTTTTAGAGGAGTACAGCAGTGTTCAAGAACCTGGGCTGACTTGAAAATGACAATTGCTTATTTTTCACCTTTTGAACCGCCATGTTAATCGCTAGTGTCCACCACGTAATCGGGATCCAAAGTGATATACCGACCCGTGCGATCCAAGTTCGGAGGGAGATCGTTCCGATTGTAGTCTTAAACTTGTTTTCTCCTTGATGAAGCAGAAAACTGTATGTGGATCGGAAAATCAGGATTTAGATTGGCTAATAGAAACGCAACCTAAATCATTGTTAGTGAAGGACTGAACGGTGTTTCTTACATGCAGTTTGTACCAGAGATTACGAGGTTTCGAAGAGTGTGCTTTAGACTTCGAATTAGTGAGCGACTCTCTGTAAGTAAAGTGTAACAGCGCCTCAGCTGAGATTCGTGGGTTAAGGCGTTTAAAATAGCCCAATGTCGGCTGAAAGATACTTTATTACATCATACTGTATTTGATTTCTGGGTAATATCCACAGACCAGTTTGACAACGAAATGTCTTCCGAATACATCGTTACATCCAATGTGACATGTGGTGCAGCTATCAGAGGTTTAGTTCGTTGACAACATATTCGAGGAGAACCTTCACTAAGTTAGAGTGTAGGTTGCCGTTGACTTTGGTTTGTAATTCAGGCGGCAATATTCGGACCAAATATAACATTCCCAAAGCGTATAACATTGTTCTGACTTTATACAACTAAGTTAATGGGACTTGTGGGCGATCCAGAGTCAACTCTCTGGTGCAGGAGTGAACGGATGGTAAAGCGCGCAGTACCACGTGTGTTGAATGACCTTTCAAGCTGGGAGAGGCTGGAAAGCTTATGCCATAAAAAGTTGACTTATGTATAGTTCTCTTCAATAGAGAAAATGGACCGTTAGGCTATAATAGCAGTACAAGGATTTCTGCAACCTTTTTTATGAAGGCCGCAGCGTGGACACTTGGAATGATCGTAGTGCAACTTTCTCTGGTTGGCGAACTGGATGATTATGGTCTGCTGTCGACTAACAACACATCTGTTAGTGGTGCGGAACGCTCGTTCGGACCATCCATCTGGTAGAAGGTTGTCGAGGTCCTCGGCTGTCACATCAAACCTTCTCCTACCACGACACAGGCCACTGAACAGGTCGTCAAAGTCCTCTGGATCCATCGGAACTCTGATGGTAGTGCGTCGAATGTATCCCTTTTCTGAGGCGGTTCGAACGGAGAGCTTCTGTCCAATCTCACCGACGAGATAATCGATCATTTTCCTTTTCCTGAAAAAAGACTAAGAGAACGTTTAGTCTCGAACAAACTCGCCTTCAATCAGAGTAAATTCATTCCTGTTGTAATCTACTCACTTTAAGTGAAGATCGCTCATAGTTCTTCATTGCGCTGTTGCAATCTTCTTCCTGCACCCAAGTATCGTCCTTGCTTCCGAAACCCTTCCATCTCACCCGATACTCTTTACGTCCGTCAATGGAACGCACACAGAAGCTTCTTGTTTAGTTTGCTTTTCTTCCTCTCGTTCTCTTGCCGAGTATAGTTCGTGAATGTTTTTAACAACAAAGCATCCTTACCATGTTCATAAATTTATAATCAACTGTTTCACTGATAAAAAATATATATATATATACTGAGAGACCAAGCATAGAGAAGGGCATTTTCTCCCTTGGGTACCCCTGTGTGAACAGCACCCTCATGAGCGACTTTCCCAACCCCTCTCCCCTAGTGCCGCTAATTTGACACGCCGACAATTTTGCGACGATTTGAAATTCATCTTGGCCGAGTCTCGGCATAATTTCCTCAGCGCAACAAACAACAAAAGACTTTTGTTTGAACTTGTGAAGTCGAATTTAACCCACGACAATAGCCCATTTCTTGATACGGGACTCATTAATATTTTTGTGAAGAAGAGACTTACTTTTGTAACGAGTCATAGTAAAGTGTGGCTACCTGTGCTTACCCACTCCCTTTCAAACATGTGATACATCATGTGTGGCGATAATATGTTGAAGATTGATGTAAAGAAAACCTTGGAAAACGGTGGAGAAAATGAGACGATTGAAGAAAGTGCAATCACCATAAGTCATTCAACCAGGCCTGGTGTTTGCTTGTCTTTTAAAATTACACCTTTGTTCTTTTTATTCTTCCTCTGTTTTTTGTTTTGTTTTGTTTTTTTTTATTTTGAATAGGCTTTTGTCATTAGATAACGCATCTGCGCGATATGGCCTAATCGTAACTTATCTCATAGCCAGGGCGTCCTCTTTTTGCTGTACACTTAGTGTCAGTGAACATGGTTGTAATGCATCTGCTCCCGTCAAATTTGATTAATTGACAATGTTTTGTTCCTCAGTTTTTGAGTATTACTTTCTTACGTTTCACTTTTCGTGGGCAGCTTGGTTCCCGCTGTTGTTAGTAAAGTTCCATGATCTAAGTTCCTTTCAAAGTTGAACTATATGCTGTGTTTATGTTTACATCAGTCAACTTCCTCTTCTTGTCACTAATTCCACTGTCTGAAAATACATGCAAAATCCAATAACAAATGCCTGTAAATTTTGGAGCAGAATTTTCCTGAATTTGGTAAGTCAAGCACAAAATTGGTCAAAGATGTATAGTTTCAGCTCTAACCTACGTTCCTTTCAACTCCTGCTGCACCCTTTGTTTCAGTCACAGGAAGTTAGCACATACCACCTTTTCTCCAAGGATAAAAGGCCTCGTATCAGGCACTGAAATGACAGGGCGCACGCTTCATCAGTTCTTCCAT